TGGTCAAATGCAAAAGACAAAGAGGAAAATCTGCATTTGGACTTCTCAGTTCCTCCAAGTATTTCTAGTGCTGGATCTGAAAGAAAAAAGCTGGAGGAATGTTTATGACTTGAACTTAAAACCAGAATTTCAGACACTAGGAATGAGTCAGCAGTCAGTAGGAAGATTTTGGGGTGCCAGACCAATCTCAAGATCTCTGTGTATTTATTCTCACATTTATAATCTAAGGACTGAGACTACAGATCCTCTTGGTGATTTATGAGCTGTGTGAGATCGAATGAATGGAAATCGAAGAAGCAACAGGTATGCACTGCCTGCAACACCCAAATCCATCTGCAGAAAAAAGAAAGTGGTGATGAAAACAAGCAGAATTTTAAAAATTTCATTTTCCCAAAGGGAATTAAAAATATATAAACAGAAAAAAGTTAACTCCCTCTCGATTCATTTAAAACCTCACTCCCTTGGAAATGACTAGTTCTGAAGGAAAAAAAAGTCATTGGTGAAAATTTGGTTTATGCAAAAGTCATTAAAATTAATGAGAATATTTGATATTTCATTCCAAGAGAAAAAAAAAAAAAAACGAAGTCTATTTTTTCTGCATGAGAAAAATCTCCAGTCTCCCAGGAACAGGGTTAAGAAATAAACTATCAGATATTGGAAGTCTCTGAATCAAACTCCAGCCTCAAATCCTCACTGAATTTTCCTCAGCTCCTTTTATGAGTTACCTATTTACATTGTATAATATAAGCTGTTTCTCAGCACAGTAAACTTTATTTACCCTATTCTTTCTGTCTAAGAAAATATACTTCAGCCTCATGCTGTAGCACACAGTTTCCATCATAAAGAATGTAGGTGTGGTAAAGCTAGAAATTGATTTTCACTTTTCTGTGACCAGTGGACATTTCAAGGGGCAGGTCCCCTGCACCCTGCAATATTTAGAATTCTGTCTGAAGGAGCTGCTGAGCTTGTGCTGTGCACACAGCTCACAGGGGACCATGCACATTCATGCACTCATGCAGCTTTTGAGCTGCAACTTTTGCCTTTTTAGACTAGATCAAAAATTTGAATGAATGAATGCTTGAATTCACTGAAATTGAAAATTCAAATTCGTTGAATTTGAAAGATTCAATGTCTGAATGACAATGTGAATGTCTAACTGTCTCATGTTGGTCTAACTGGTGTTTAATTAAATTTATTTAACCTGTAGCTGGTTCTTCCCACCCACTGGCACTGTTGGTGGGGGAGCACACACAGGGATGCTGCTCCATCTCAGTTTTTCACTCAGCATTTGATCCAAGGCTCCTCTCTGCCCAAACAAAGCAAACCAAACCCCCACCACTACTGCACACACCCTTTTATTCTGCCAAAACTCCCTGAGAAATTCAGTCAGCAGTGCAGGGAGCTTTTGGCTTTTCTGGGCCTCACTTAAAAAGGGTAAAACCACACAGAGGAAGAGCTGGTAATAGTCAGCATTTCCCTGGCTGGGCAGTTCCTGATAGAACCTGGCACATCAGCACACCCCAAACACCAAGAAAAAACCTCTCTGGGGGGATCCTAACAAGTTCTCAACGCCAGAGTTAGGCATGCTGTTCTACACAGTTATTTTCATGCACCTTTCATGGTCTTGACTAATGATTTTCAAATGTAAAAACTGCAAGGGACAGAAAATTCTGCTCTGAAACGCTGACATTTCTTTCCCATCTAATGCAAAGATTTCTATCTCTCCTTGAAAGGTAACTGACATTTGCCTATCCTATGTTAAATTCCTACAGCCCACGGGTACTACCCAAAATCCAGGCCATGATTAAATCTGTTTCATTAATAAAGAGATTTATTATTTATATTTGTCCCACACAAAGCTGAATGCACAGGGAAACACCCTTGAGCTAAAGCTGCAGTTCAATCTTATCAGGTAAATGAACCAAGAGAAAAAGCATTATAATATGATTTGTAACCCAACAAGAGGCCAGATATTATCTTGGTTCTCAGCAGACTTTATGGAAACAGCTCTGGGGCCCTGAAGAACTCTGAGAGCTTTCACCTCTCAGCCTGTCAGCCAAAATATGTTGGCCCCACCAAAAAAATACGTGTTGGTCTTGCTGAGCACAGCAGCTACTTGGATTTGGGCTTTGTTAAAAACAAAAGCAGCAAATTGCTCTGAAAGAATTAATATTGTTACAAAAAAGGAGGAATGTTTTGTGTCGTGTTCAGAGCTTATCCTGCTTCCATCAGCCTGCCCCTGTAGCCTGCAGGGTGGCACAGCCCACGTGTAATGCACCTCAAAGTTACCAGAGTGAAATTCATCAACATCACAAAAATGTCAGCCAGGTTCTTAGAGCTTAGAAGAAAAGGAAATAGCAAAGGTCAGTGAGGTTTGTAAAACAGGACAGAGTCCAAACACACTGATTGCATGTCTTAGGTGTTATTTTTGTCCCCAAACATTCCCAACATCTCACAGGAAAGAAATTATATTTATGATCCCAATCAGAAAAGAAGCTGCCAGCCAAACTCAGCAATTAATTTTTTTTTTCCCTTGGTGAATATTTACATCCCAGCACTTTACCTCGTCCTCTTTATTACTCTGCTGCTCATCTCAAAGTCAATGGTTTATTTCACTATTTCTTGCTGCTTGGAATGTTACATTTCAAACCAGGGCGTGGATTAAAAGCCAGCCCCTGTCCAGAGTGAAAGCAGAGCTGTATTTAGGAGCACCCTGGGCAGATGGAGGGCTGCACCTCCAGCAACCATCACTCCTGAGCATCCTCACAGAGACAGGATCCTGCTGAGGAGCTCAGAGCAGAAATCTTCACTCCAGCAGCACCAGGGGCTTGGCTTAATGGTGCTTTGAGTGTGCTGTGCACGCTCTGGGCACCAGCAAAGGAACAATCAGCATTTAACTGAGCTCATCAAACGCGGTCTGAGCTAGGGCTTTTCTGTTCCAGGGAAAAGAGGATGGAACACACACAGATTTAATAATATTAATTAATGTTTGTCTTCCCGTTCTTTGTACACTATGTAATATATATATATTTATCTTTACACACTGTGACACGGATTTTAATAACTGGGAAATCTGCCTTCAGATCTTGCAGTAAGAAGGATGTAACAGGACTAAGTCTAAAAAGGTTTCCCAGAGTTAATGAGTATATTTGAGAGGGCCACAGATATAATTCACCTTGATATAACCAAGACTTCTCTGCTGTTAAAAATATAACTCTAAAACCAAAGAATATGCGTTGATAATGACAAAAACTTTATATTTCCAGGATTCTTGCTGCAAAGTCACTTTGAAGAAAGAAGAAACATTCCTTAAACCAAAGGCAAGAATATTATCATCATAATTAATGGGTCCTACAAAAGGAATCTTCATCCCATAATCACATTTATTTGAGAGTAAAGCCCCACAACCTCAATAAACCTCAAGGTTTGTGCAATTAAAGCCCCATACTTTTAATTGTGCTAATTAAATGTAGTACTGAATAACGGATGTTTAAAAAAAAGGGTGCAAGGGAGGTGTGGGGAGTTTGCTGTTTTCCTATTAAAAGTCAGAGTAAACAAAGCAGTGTTTTTGTGTGCCACGCATCACATCTGTGCTCCCAGGCACTATTTAGTCTCTTTACAAGAAAATAAAGTTATGCAGGAGAAGAAAATAAAGTTATGCAAGAAAATAAAGTTGTACTGCACACACGGTGGCATGGACTGTGCTCCTGGCAGTATCACCCTTGGACAGGACACTCCTGTGTCAATCCATCCTTCAGAAATGAAACACACTTGGAAAGGTGGGATTTTCTCTAAAACCCAGCAAATAACTTACATGGAAACCTTTAGTTTCAAAATCCCAGTATGAATCAAAAAATTACACATAAAATGGGACTTTTTGTCATAGCATTTACCTGCTGGATGCCTTCAACACACACAGTTGGGGAAGTGGTGACCAGAAAAGCTCTTTGGGAAACTCAGTTTTTTATTCAAGCTGAACCAGCTCAGTTTTGTAAATATATTTTATTTTAAAAAGGTATTTTATTAAAATACTTTTAATTTTTAAAAATCATTTATTTTTTAATTAAAACACTCAGAACATGATAGTAAGCACAGAGTGAAGTATAAAGTTCATGTCAGGGGTAGAGCATGTGTGATCTTGGCTCTTGGAAGAGAGGAAATCTAATCCAGTTTTCCATTTCAGCAAAGAAATGGAGCACATGTAGCACACTAATCACTTTTACAAATTGCAGGGAGATTTTTAGACCAGAAGTATTTACTGAAGATTTTCTTGCAGATTTGCCTGTCAATAAAATGTTGGTTAGAAGATTCTTATTAAACACTACATCAAGAGAAGATAAATACTAAGTCAGAGGAGAGTTTGTTTATGATTTTATGATGAGTTTTGAGGAGGCACGTAGTAGACAGAAGACTTAGGTATTTAAAACAATTTAACACAGGAAATGTGTCAGTTCAATTAGTCTGGAAAAAGAGAATTTTAATTTAAAAGCATTGCTCGGTGGAGAGTCTGACTCTTCTCCCATTTATTACAAGATGTACAGAAGTGTTTTTTGTATCACTGACTGGTGTATTGATTAATTTCTAAAATTCATGTCCTAACCTAACAAATTGCCTTAGTCTGTGGCATCCCAAAAACACAGCAAGTTTGGTCAAGCAGTTCATCACACACGTTCTATCAAGAGAACTCTGGGTTCCTTTTATTTGTACTCAGGTTTTTCACGAGGTGCCCAGAATAACAATGGTGTTGATTAGCACCAACCCTCCAAAGCCAACCTGGAGAGCTGCAACTTACCTCAAAGCTAATTGAGCACCCGGAATGTAGAACAAGAGGTACATAAAAACCAAAGGGAAATATTTTTATCTTACAAAGGAAGAGCTGGAAAGTCCCTGGAGGCAGAGAGCTGCCATCCATTCCGGGTCTGGGGGTGAAGGTGACACCACATCCATTTTCACAGTATTTCCATCACGGGCTGTGACAATGCACAGAGGAATCTCAGTGGCAAAATGCTAACATCCATTTTCTCTGCCGGGAGAAGGAAATGAAATGCAAAGGTGTCAGGTTACGTAAAAACAACCTTTCAGTGCTGTTTAACAAGGTTCAGATGAAGCACGTTGCATTAAAATGAGTCATCTGCCAGCTGCAGAGCTGTGTTTTCACAACACTGCATTTCCAAGCACCAGCCCACTGCACAACAAACAGCCCCTCACTCAAAGCTACTCCAAAAGTCCCACTGATGCAAGGTGGAAAAGGTGGAAAAGCAGCAGCCAGCTTCTGCAGGAGCTGGGGTTCATGTCAGCCAGTGCAGAGGAGAAGAAAGCGCATCCAGAACAGCTTTGGAGCAGATTTTGGCATGTCTGGATTTGGGTAACACAACAGCAATACCAACAGGCCACCAGCGATTTTATCTCAGTTATTGGTAACAATTTAAAATCCCCTGAGAAACCCAGTGCTTTCAGCACAAGCTTGATGAAGTTTTGATATCAAAGTCAAAATATGGAAATGTTCAAGCAAGTCTGGTCTGTAATGATGCCTTTCCCTCAGGGAAATGACCCAGACAATCACTGGCAAGGGGGAGAGCAAGAGCAAAGGGAATTGAAGATGCACAGGCTGTTGGAATGTGACACTGCAGGGATTTTCTTGTCCCACAAAACCTGACCAGAGTCAGGACAGAGCTCACTGAAGTGAATTTCTTGTCAGAAGGCAGGCAGGGATCCAAGTGTCAGAAATCAGATGACAAGCACGGGTGATTGAATCGTGTGAAGGAGATGGAACAAAATCACAGGGAGAAAAGTGTGTAAAAGTGATCCTACATTTTGTTAAGAAGCCTATTGAGAACATGCACTTTCTCCCTTCTCCCTGTACTCTTTCTGCACCAGAGCAGCTGAAAAATCCAACAGTCATTAAAATCTCCATTCCATTCTATATAAAAAGGAAATTCATGTCAAATGCTATGCAGGATGGAGGCTAAAGCATAAGATGTGCTTTGTACAATTTAAAGCTTAAAAAAACCAAAGGTGAATGGAGCAGACTGCCTTTAGAAAGGTATAGAAAAGCAATTTCTTATAGTTCAAACTCCGTTTTAGGCATTTAATGAGGTAGGGAAGCTGAGCATTCACTCTGAGGATCTTTAGGAGTGATACTGCAAGGACACTAAAATGTTTATGCTACACATGTATAAAATTGTTACATAACTCCCTGGATCATAACTAATAATATCCACTAACACCATTAAGGCAGGTGGACTTACTGCTGCTCTGCTTTTCCAAGAAATCCTCTTTTAGTTTCCTTGAATAAAGACAGACAAACCCAACTGCAGTTTCACAAATTGGGGTGATTCTTTATTTTTCTGTCCCATTCATTGTCACTCAGGACTCGCAGGGTCCTTTCTCTTGCCAGCTGCAGTCCTTGGAAGAAATGATGCTTTACTCTTAATTTAAAATGCCACAGGAATTGTGGGAAGGGGAACTCAGGTAGCTCTTTAATACCAGCAATGAAAGTTAATATAAATACACATAAACAGAACTCATTTTACTTGGACTGAAATAAACTGTGGGGGAAGGAAAGTGATTTCTCAGTTGCTCTTCAGTCTGCTGCTGAATTCCTTTTCTCTGAGTTGGTGCAAATTCACAATTCAAGGCTGGTTTTCCTGAATGTTCAATAATTACTGTGAGCATTTGGAAGTTTTGGGTGTTAAAAGAACCAGGGTTTGCATTTGTCTCACCTATGATTGATGGAAGACTTACAGAAATTGGAATTTAATCTAGATTTGTCATCTCATTGCACATGACTGAATGCCATTTTACTGCTGTCATCTGAAAAGTTATGTAATGTTTCTACCTCAGTAGAAAATGACAATATTTATAAAATATAATGGTATTTAATACCAGCTTTCTGAGAATATAACGTAAAAATAAAGTTTCATCAAGCATTTTCTTACAGAAATGTGTTATTAGCAGATTTAGAATAAAATTATTTTATTGGAGATAAGAATCAAAACAATGCTGTACACATCTATTTCTTTTAAAGACTTTTAAAAGTCTTTTTAAAATAAATTTTCCCTAAAGAAGAAGATGTAACTGATAAGGAAATGGATAGCATTTTTTTTCCTTTTGGCCTTCTGCTGAACTTGTTCTCTCTTTTCATGAGGGGATCTAGACCTGGCCTGCCCACTCAGAATGATGTCCTGAAAGTGCTGAACAAGGAGGAAAGAAACTCAGTTTTTGTACATTGCATTAAGCAGTTTGAAATCTTTTAACAGAATTGTGACATTATTTTCTTTCATTTCTGTATCAGCGGCGCTTTTTGTTCGTGTACTGAAGGATCTAGAACTTTCATTTGTCATTTCAATTTTGCTATTTAGCTATGCTGTTTTCTGAGATGCAGTTCAGGTTTTGGTGAGCGCTGAATAAAAGCAAGCAGTAAGTGATAGGATTTGGGTTTTTTGGCAGGGAACTTTTTGAAAGAGGGAAAAGAAGATCCCAGCTGAATATAAAAAAAAAAAAAAAAAAAAAGTCCTTTGTTCTATACATTAAGAATTTAAAGAGAAAGTTCAGAAATGCAGATTTCAGATTGTTGCCATTTAACTTTTGTGAAGTGTCACTGTAAACAGAGTGATTTGGCTTTTCTGACACAATTATTAATTGCATTAAATAAGTGCTGCTTTGGCCATCTCTGAAGATCTTGGCAAGGCTGAGAGCCATAAATCTTTCAGTTCCTGTGTCAAATTCTGCCCTGATCACAGTGGCTGGAGCCTCAGAGAAGATGAAGTGCAGCATACATGTCTTTAGAATTAGTCTGCTCTCTGTGCCACGGGACTCAGCCCTGGCAGGAGGATGCTCTGGGATACATAAATCAGGAGCTAACCTGGATGTGTCCTGATTTGGGATGCTGGGATCCAGCTGTCTCTCTGGTAATATGTTCTTGAAGGCTTCATTGAGCCTGCTCTCACAGAAATGAAAATGCATGTGTTTGACACGCTCCTGTGCTCGGCTGGTTGATCAAAATAGATTTTTCTCAGCCTTTTTTTCTCACTCATCTTTTCATGGGCATCATTATCCATTACTTAAAATTATTCTGAAGCTCCGTTCCCAAACTTATTTGAATATGCCTGTATAATCTACACAAAGCAGTGTCCTTTTGGACATGTGATAAAAAATTAATAGGGCTTCACATTTTTTAACAGTTGGCTCCAGCTGCTGGATTTCTTCCTGTATTAAAATCACTTAAAATCTCTTTGCAGTTCAGTTCAGAAGGCAAATTATCTAGGAAGGGTAGATAAAGCAAAACTGGCAGATTGAGTATTTCCTGGTGAGATGTGTGTATTTTAAAATATGCAGTTCTGAGAGGCAACACATAAAACATGCATAATCTATTCTAATGAGATTCCAGAAAGTTCCATTCCCAGCTCTGAAATGTTTGGAAGTGATAGGAAGGAATGTGCAGCCTCAGATGGGAGCCTGAGTCCTGTGAAATTAGGGGGGAGTTATCTGTGCAGTCCAGAACAAAATGCACCTGGTACTGTCCACACTACTCAGCAGCATAGGGAAAATGTCCTTTTTAAATTAAAATAAAAGAAGAACAAGAAGCTGAGCCGTGTTTTACTAAATATCCCATACTGCACTGTAAAATCACCGTGGCAGAGAGCTCCTCTTCCTCTGCTCTCCCTTCCTGCCCAATGTGATAGAAGGGAGGAGAGGGAAGAACAATTCTGTTCCCAATATTTTGGAGGCCGAAAGATGTTAATGGATTTTTTCTGGCATTAGGCAAATAGTCTGACAGGACAATGAATCAATTTTAAAATCTCTGCTCCCACAGTGTAAGAGCAGAACACTTCTGTGTTCTGCACATTTTAAAATTTTCAATAAGATAAATGATGTTGTAAGAGGAATGATTATTTGGCTCAGAATTGCACTATCCTTTTCAGTAATAATTTATTTGCTCCTTTTCAGAAATGTTTACATGATGATAGGTAGTGTCCTGGTTTTGCCTCATATTTACTAATAAATTACTGGTAGTCTGTTAATTAATCCATCTTTTTTCAGTTGTCTGAATCTAAGAAAAACTTTTGAATATTAGGACATTTCATGCTGTGAACACAGAATTCCACAGGCAAATTAAACCTGATATCTTATTAAATAAATACCAGATCTATTTATGTCAGACAGTCCAGCAGAAATGGCCCTGAATAAACCCAAAATTTGAGAATGCAAATGACAGATTTCCTCAATGGAACATCTGGGGCAGCTGATGATGGGTACTGAAATGTGAGTTGTGTCTGGAGTTTTTGGGTTATTTTTCTGGGGTTTTGTTTAGGTTTGGGTGTTTTTTGTTGGGTTTTTTGGGGGGTTTCATAAGGGCATTTCCAGCACTGTTGAAGGAAATGTGAGAAAAAGACAGATTCTGCCAAAAAAGAGCAATCATATTGTATCTTTATATATATAATATATATATAAACCTTTTATCTGTCCTTTGGCACAAACTGGAGTTCAGTGGGGTGTCAGACACAAAACTGAATTTGATTTTCTGAGTCCCTCTGCCGGTGACCAGCCATCCCTGTCCCTGGGTGCTGGCTGTGCTGTTTAAGTGCTGAGGTTCCCGTGGATACCCTGAGAGAGGATCCAAACTTCCCACATCAATTCCTGTCCCTCCTGAGGCACAACATTGCTGGCAAGCTCCAGGAATACTCTTGAAGTCACCTTGTGATTTGAAATGCTCCATATCTTTTAAATCCCAGCATATAATTGATATTAAAACCAAAAAATATCTGCTGTCTTTATATTACAGTTATATCAGCATTACAGCCAGCAGGAAAATCCCTCCTTTCCTGGCTTGCCCATCATCCTCTCTTTTCCCTTTTTTTTGTCCATGTACATGCTTGGGAGGTGCTGCTGTGACAAAAATTAGCCCTCATTTGTTTGCTATTTTAAAAGATAACTGCAAAGAAATAAGAACAGCAATTACTGTGGAAGCTGAGTAAGAGGCAGCACTTAAAGAGGAGGAGAAGCAAATATTTCAAAACAAAAACCACCTTTTTTAGTTGCACCAACCTCTGTGGCCACAGTTTGCAGGGACTGAAGTGCCTTTTGTAATTCTCCAACGTGGTCCTACTGTAAGCAATCAATACCTGGGCTTATCCCTCTGACCAAACCAGATTGATCACCTGCACCAGTGCTATTTTTAGGAATAATTCATCAAGGTTGTACAGACACCTTGGTGCCTACAGCAACATTAACACCTTTCAAGCCTCCCCTCTCCTCCCCATCACAGTCAATCTTGCTTCAGCCTTTTACAGCTTGGAAAGAATTAATCTGTGGGAGCAAACAAGGAAAGGACAGGGTGTGCTGACAAGTCTCAAACTCCCAGGAGCCATTTAACATCTCCTAATAAAATCAGAAGGTCCCTGGGTGACCCAGGCTGGGTCTCTGCAGGGGCAGCTGAAGGAGTTCCCCAGTTTGCTGGAGTTCCAGGAGGCAGCTCCTGGCCCCAGGAAAAAGCAGCAGCAGAGTGATTATTGTCTGTAATCCCTCCTGATCCTTAGGCAGAACTTGTTCCACCCCATTCCTTCTTGTTCCACCCTATTCCTTCTTGCCCACTTCTGTCACAGACATATTCTATGAAAAATCCTTTTGCCAGGAACACTTGTTCCCAGGATCTGGAGAAAGGCAAACTGGGGTTTCTGAGCGGGAGGCAGAGGGGATGGCTCTTTGCTGGCTGGCAGCAGGAAAGGGGATCTGGATCCTAGAGAGGGATGGGGATAAAAAGGCTGCTCAGAGAGCACAGGAGAGATCCTGCAAACTCCAGGAGGGGGAGAAAGGCATTTCTTTCATTGAAATGTGGGAGGGGAAAGGGATCTTAGATGAATAGGATAGGCTGGGGAAGAGAGAAATCCAGAACTTTGAACCACTCACAATCCTGTGAAGTTTCTGGCAGTCCCTCGGGCCTGACTGACCCTTATTTAACAGAAGCTCGCTGTAATTCCTTTGTGCTTCTGTGTCCTGCCTTTCATCCAGGATACTGCCTGAAATTCCAGGACTGTCTGATACTCCTGCATGGAGGAGTATCCTCATTGTTCACTCTCTCCTCTGCTAACTGCTCCTGTTCTCCCTTTCCTTTGAATTTTGCATAATTGCAGAGCTTCCCCAGCCCTTATCACACACCTGGGAGCTCTCTCATTGTGAAAGGAACATTCTGTCATTCATTCCCCACCTCTGCTTCCCCTGCACTCTGGAAGAAACAAATAGACCGAGCTGCAATTAAAACGAACCAAGTCATGTGGGCTTGCCTGTGCTCCTGAAAGCATTTCCCAGGGACTCAAGACTCACAAAACTTGTTGAGAAATAGAAGCAAAATTATTTGTTAGCTGCAAACCAGGGCAGGAGCCCCCTGCTCCACCACAGTGCAGCTGACTCTGCTGCACCTTTTTCAGAAGAAGAATATAATCCATATTCTTGTTTACCAGATTTCTTTCTGAGCCATGGAAATTACTGTGAATGAGTATGAAAATGACAACAGAGAAATTGGATGTTCTGAGATGGGAGTTCAGAGGCAATTCCAGCTGCTCTTTTAACAAGAAAAGAATGTCAGATTTCTCGCTGTGTGATTATACAGGCATTCCAGACAATTTTTATTTGTTCTTGGTATAGAATTGTGTTTCTAAACTTGATTTATGTCTGAAAATGGTTGCTGATGTTAGGCAGACCAATTCAAAAGAATAAATTCTTGTGGCTTGGGAAGCTTCAGTGCAGAATGTTTAATGGTTGATTATTGTGGATCATTAAACTCCTTTCTGGAATAGTGTTAAACTGGTGCATGGGGGGTGTTATTGGTCTGAATTAATTTCATGTGTACTGGAACCAGATGGGATGATTTCCTAAGGGATGTATTGATTACTTTATCTTTCTGTGATACTTGAAAAATTTTGGCTTAAAAGTGTTCACAAGCAAAGCTTTTTGTACTTCTCCTGTTCTACAGAAAGGAAGGGAATTAAAATTGTTTCTTTAACTACAGAAGAGAATTTCTTTGTATTTCTGGCTGTTCTGTGTTATAGGCAGTTCTCTGCTGACCTCTTTTTCAAATCTGAAACTTTGGCTTTACTGTGGAAATTAAAGAGATTATGATTTAATTATATCCTCTGAGACAACATGGATTATTTTGACCCTGCAGGACAATAACAGAATGATAATTACACAGTAACTTTTGTTACAAACCTGCTTTGTCCACATGGTACCAGATCTTGCCATGTGCATCCTGAGATGAACATCACTGCTGCTCAACATAACCCAGGCTGGTGAGTGTGATAAAATGGGAATACACTGAAATAACACAGGGGAATACAAGGAAAATAATACATGAAATAACATACATGGGAATACCTTGAAATAACACAAGGGAACACATTGAAAATAATACATGAAAAAATACAGGGGAACACATTGAAAATAATACATGAAGTAACATACATGGGAATACCTTGAAATGACACAAGGGAATACATTGAAAATAATACATGAAATAACATACATGGGAATACCTTGAAATAACACATGAAATAACATACATGGGAATCCATTGAAAATAATACATGGGAATACATTGAAATAACACAGGGGAATACATTGAAAATAATAAATGAAATAACACAGGGGAATACACTGAAAATGACACAGGGGAATACAAGGAAAATAACACATGAAATAACATACATGAGAATACATTGCAATAACCCAGGGGAGAGCTGTGTTCATGTGACAGCCGGACAATTCAGACCTTGAGGCTTTGTAGCTCCTCTGAGAAATAAATGATCAGGGTGAGAGGCTGTAATTTAGTGAGGGAAGAGGGAATCCAGTGCTTCTCTTCAGGCAGGGCTGCAGCCCCTAAATTCTGCTAGGATGAGGGGGTTAATAATTGAGAATACTCCCCTATCTGTTTCAGATTAGCCATTTCACTCTTTCTCACACTCCAACGTGAAAATCTTAGGAGGGCAAACCATTGCTAACACTGTGTTTTTATTTTTGATTTCTGCAGCAAGCAGCAAAGAAAATTCTGTCAGCTTAATCAGCCAGTATTATGCAAATGTGGGGGAAATTACAGTAGTTGATGTTTGAAGAGGGTTGTCAGCAGTGAAAGTGTTCATAATGTTTGATAAAGTTAAGGCCTTTTTTTTTGCAAACAAGTAAAAATAAAGCATGCATCACCACAATTTTCCATCCATTTAAGTTTTAGATTCCCAGTGAAACTCAAATTCATCTGCATCAAGCTTTGCCTAATCAGTGCAAGTAGCTGACCAGTGTTTAGTGCTAGTGTAATATATTTTTGTATTGATGTTGTTGACTCTTTTCAACTGTTGAAAAAATAATGAACAAAACAAAGGAGGGGGAAAAAAAGCTGGAGCTGCATTAGCTGTGGTGGGGGCATTTTGTGCTCAAGGAATGGTGTGTTTACACAGAAGGGAGCAGAAAATGTGGACATCCATATCTGCCTCTAGAGAGGGATGTTGGGTGGTGATGGCTTCATTGTGTTGTTTTTGTGACCCTGAAATACCAGAACACGTGAGATTTATTGTAGATTCAGAAATAAATAACCACAGTGGGTGAACTATTATAAATTAAATGCATCAGAATAAGCTGGAGTTACCTAAGGCTTGTAGAATTCAATGGAAAACCTGGAAATTAAGAACAAGGGAGTGGGAAAAGCTGCAGTATTTCCATCACTGGATGTTAAAAATGAAGAATCAGAGAATGGTTTGGGTTGAAGGGCCCATCCAGTGCCACCCTTGCCACGGCAGGGACACCTTCCACTGTCCCAGGATGCTCCAAGCTCTGTCCAGCCTAGCCTGGAACATTCCAGGGATCCAGGGGCAGCCCCAGCTGCTCTGAGCACCCTGTGCCAGGGCCTCAAACTGACAGACAGAATCTCTGTGCAGATGGGTACAGCAGAATTCTTGCTGATTTCACAATGAAAAGTAAAATAATATGAAGCTTTTCCTACCGAAAGACACCTGCACAGCACTTGGGAATACCTGGCTGCTCCCACGGAAATCCCAGTTTAAGCAGGATCCTGTCCTGGGATTCAGGACTGGTGACTTTCCCTGTTTCAACAGTCCCACACCCTGCTGATTACACTCCTGTATAAGCAGCTCTGAAAAAGAATTACCTCATGGATCATTCAATTGAATTTCAACCTAGAAGTCTTTTCAGTGTAATTCAGTGAACTTTGATTTTTCATTAGTTTAAAATTGGAAGCTGAAATTGGTAGCATGTATAATTGCATGTCACAGTGACTGCAATATACCTTACTTGCAGCTGTAGTTCCTTGATTTTCTTTTTGTGTTGTAGGGTACCTGCATTGTTGTGAAATAGAAAATAATACTTCTGAGGTAGCGTGCATAAAAATAATTACTTCATGTACTGGGCTGCTCTGGATAGAATTCTTTTCTGTTTTAGAATTGCTTTAGCTAACTTACAGCTCTGTTGGTTGACATATATCAACAAAAATAGATGCAGACAGTCAATTATTTGAATTACCTTCAAAGGTATTCTCATCTCTGTTTTATAAGAGAAGAAATTTGAATGGAGTAGAGCTTTTGCTGTGCCAATTAGTGCTGTGCAGCCTCCTGGGAGGAAGGAGCCACTCAAGCCAGGGTTTTGGGGTTTGGGTGGTTTTTGGTTGTTTGTAGTTTGTTCGGTTTCTCACATTGCAGTCAAAAAATCAGACCTGAGAGAACATCAGATTAATTTAGGGGTAAAAACTGAACTGACTTCAGCCTTTTCATCTGAACAGAGTCCTGCAAAAGCCAGTGTATAAAATACACTAAATGGTGATGCTGCTTTTGAGAGAGAACAAAAATTTGGGGTGGAGATCTTAAAGGGCTTTTTTGTGGTCCCTATTTACAATTTCAATGCTGCTGTCCAAAAATCAGTACCTTGGACAGCGAACCCCGCAGAGTGGGTGGAAGATTTTGTCTCCTGGAGTAACCAGCGTGTGTTCACTGCCGTGGCTGAGCATTTCCTGCTGTCCCCAGATAAAGATTTGGGATTGATCAGGTCAGGGAGATTGCCTGTGCCTCTTTAGGGATGGGGGAATTGTGTGTCCTGTGAGGATTTTGCTCTGACAGAGAACTCACAGGCACTCATGATGTCATTTTCATTGAGAACACATTCCTCACCCTTACACAGTCAATAATTTTAATAAACCATAAAACAATTTTGCACTTAAAAGTTTTCTTCCCTTCCAAGTTTCTTTTAATGTGTCCACAAGCTTGATTTAGTGTAAGGTAAAGAGACTTCCTCTTCTAAATCACCAAGATATTTCTGTTTTTTCATAATGAAATAGTTGGATTTTTTCAATCTCTTGTGTTTGGTGGCCGAAGTTAACCTGGCTATCTGTGTTTGGGAGAATAAAGGAAAATCTCTGAACACGGTGACAGCAAATACAACTGACAGCAGTAAGGAATTTTAAAGATAAAGATGTGAGGGGAGAAGAAGAAATCCTTAATAAAATTAAGGGTTTATCAAGCCTTGTTCTTTGGCTGAAAATTATGTTTTTTGTATGTAATTTTCATGATATAAAGTGCTATCAATTACTGAAAATAATTCCTGGCTCCACAGTTACCTACTTCTGCTCAAATTGACTTGTCAAATATTTGACATCCAGATTATTCTCTCTGTTTGAGTGCAACTGCAGAGACTGTTATGGAAAAATACAAGCATTCAGAAATTCAGGCTTTTCACTGGAATTTCATATTAACATTTTAATATAGATTTCTTAATGTTTTCAAAGGACAGAGCAAAGAAAAACAAACTAACAGAGCTTCTGCTGGTGACCAACATACCAGTTTAGATGCTGAAAATTGGGTTTCCAGATTATCAAAGGACAAAGTTGCAAAGTACCAGGTGTTCTTTAGTTTATTGCAAAATGGAGTTGATTGCTGTTCTGGCTGCTTTCCTGATTTTCATAATCTTCATTGGAATCATCTAATAAATAACAAGCTGAATCAGCATTTTGATTAAGGAGATTATTCTAATAACAAATTAATAGGCTTTTTACTTTTGAGCAAAATAGCAGCCAGAGAACTCTTAAAGCTTTTGTTTCTATGAGCCTTATCTTCCCAGGCAGGTTCTGGAGCTCCCAAATTTCCTTCATTTGACTGCAGCAGGAGGATAAACTGCATTCCATGGCAGCTCTGCTATTTCATATTGCCCTTAAGAACAGAAAGCTCAAGCTTGAAGCTTCTAGAAAAACTTCTGTAATGAGCAGAACAGTGTAGGTTTATAAAATGAAGCTCATTTATTTAACATTTATTAACAACAATATCAAACCCAGCAACTAAGTTCCAATTAAATCCCTGATTGAAATGAATAGAGGTGCTCACTGGGACAGGGTGAGAGCATTGATATTTTACCCCTTTGTTATCCTCAGTTCATCACCTCTCGGTATTTAAATTCATCCTAATAAAGCAGACTTTTAAAGAGAAATACTGGCAAGAACATGAAGGATTTGGGGGAGTGCTGTTCATGATCATTTTCACTCGTTCTGCCATCATCAGGAACCTTTAACACGTTTCCCACAGTCCTGAGCTAAGGTATTTTTCTGTCTCTTTCTGGTTTACATTTCTTGTGCAATAGTGCTCCCAAACCTTTCCTTCTAATTCTCTTTCCCCTGGGAAATAATAAAGGCTGTTTTGTTATCCTAACTTAAAAACAATCAATGAAATGAAAATGAACTGTCATCTAACAGAAATGCAAATGCAATCTGCCTTAGTCATTTCCCTGCCCTTGCTCATCAACAGATACCCTCAAAGAGCTCTCTGCATACAAGATTGCCTTCTATTTATCTCTGTTTATCTCTCTATTTCATCTCCAGAGAGCAGTGATGCCTTCTGATTCTTTACAGACCCTACCAGAGTTACCTCAGTAATTTAAGATGATGCTCTATGACTTTCACCCAAAAAAAACACATTAAGTATTTCTGACAGTCAGAGCAACGAGATGTTGGGCAAAAAAAAAAAAAAGAAAAAAAACCCTCTCAAATTACTCCTTGGAAAAAATAGACTCTAAAGATAGAATATAGAGATAATCTCATTTCAGCTTATTAATTATGCCTTGTAAGCAATGAATCAAATCACTTTGCTGTATAATACAATTACTGCTGTAATTTGTAGTCATTACAGTTTGCACTGAGGTATAATTGTGTAATTCATTTTCTGCAGGTTATTGACAGAGAAGGTCTTAACAACTTCAGCATGGAGGCTTTGGGTTTGCTACAGTTTAATTTGCAGATCATTAGCACAATAGACCTAATAGCTTGCTGTGCCTACCCATCAAGGAGTTATTTATGTTTGGAGCAGGCACAAAAGAGAAAGATGAAGAAGAGACTGGAGGTAGAGGCATTATTACCTGGTGCCTGGCTCCCCTTGCAGTCTGCAGCTCTGTGGCATCAGTCCTGGGCAGAGTTAATTCTCTGGTCAGCTGTATTTCCTAGCAGCTCGTTTGAAGATGAGGTGGCTTTCCTGCCTGCAGTGAATTATTCCAATTAACAAGTTAATATTTTGGCACAGTCGTCTGCATCTGATTAATGTTCATTAAATCAATCGTGATTTGATTGAAATACATTTTTAAGTGTCAACCTTCCCATTGAAATGGAGCACAAGAAGTGCTGTTCCTGCTGACACCTGCCATGGAATAAAATATAACAAATAAGTCATGTTCCAACTGTGGTTTTTCTTCTGGTTCTGTTAAATGTCTGTCCTGATTCTTATTCATGGTGGCTTTGGGTTTTTGGGTTTGTTTTCCTTTTTTTTTTTTTCTTTTGATGTGTCTCTACAGTATTTTAAGAATGATTGCTTTCACACTTATTTCAGCTCCTTCTCAAGTACCTGGCTGTGCTTCTAAGTTATTGTGAGTACAATTATTCACAATAAATGCAAGGTGAGATTAAATGTGCCCACTGAGGTGAAGGGGAGAAAGAAAGGACCTTGTATTTGACCCAAGCAACAGCACCCAGGAAATTTATATTCAGGATTATGAAAAATATATCCTGTATGGAAACCATAATTAATTTTCCACACTTCCTGCCATTATTGGAAATTCCCTTTAATTGACCATTCTCAATTAGCATGTTTTCATGGAGTCATAATTTCTACACCTATCTGCTGAGAGTTACACACATCTTACACTGTATTTAGAAAATTATAAGAAATTATATTCCTTACTGTTTGCATGTGACTTTTTTTTTAAAACTACTCTTTAGGGGGAAAAAATAAATTTATAAGTTGCCATTAGGGCCTGCAACCAAATAAAGTTCTTCCATTCTTTTCCTTGATACAAACTTTATCCTCAGAATGCCGAATTCAAATTGTAGAGCCTCAGAAATTCTTTGAAAAAATAATAATGGCAAATGTTGCTATGGTTACAGAGCCATTCCCATTTGCTTTGCTTTTCTGCCTCAGTAATGAAAGTGGAATGAGGGATTTTTATTCCAACTGTCTGTACCATGCTTTGTAGGGGAAATGCATACCCCACTAAATATTCCCCATTAATTTTTGAAACCAGAATGTTTTGGGGGTTGGTGTTTCTGAAGCTGTTTTCCTCTGTTTTCTTATTAAAGTTGATTAAAGACAAATATCATCTTAAAAGCTGCAGTGAAAGTGTGAGTTTTGCCCACAATTCCACTTGGATAAAGGGCAGACTCAATTTCTATCCTTCCTCAGTCTAACACCCCTTGGGTATAAAATACTGAGCTTGGATTGCCTTAATTTACTGAGTTACCTTATTCTCAGGAGTGACTGGCACTGGGGTTTTATTTTAAGACTGAAACACAGGATATCCTCAAGATTACTCAAGCTCATGTGGAACAGATAAAGTAGTGCTTTGGGATGTTTGAATTTGTCCCTCTGGGTTGCTGTTTTTTGGGGTTTTTTTTGGTTTTGTTTCTTTGGTTGTTTTTTTTTTTTTGTTTTTTTTTTGTTTTTTTTTAGTTGTACTTTTGTGATCAGCTTGCTTTTCCTTGTCCTTCCAACAACACAAACCTCTGTGACCCCAGGAAAACCCTCACAAATGCTTCACTTCCCAAGGCACTTCCCTCACTGTCATTTCTACTGTGGCAGAACTTTAAACATTTGGGAAAAATCTCCTGATTTTCTTATCAACAAAAGCATCATCATCAGCATTCCCTGAGAACAAAAATGCATTTGGAAGCAGGGATTTGCAGCTGAACTGCTCTCCTGAGGGCCATGAGCAGATCTGTAAGGCAGCAGAGATGTGGCATCACAGAATCACCCATGCCTCCCCTGGGGCGTCCAGTCCTGCTGCAGAGAGCTTTTTGGGAAAAGACAATGCAAATAAAGGCACAGAAACACACCAGAGATTGTGCAG